TGATTGTAAAATGGAAAAGCATCATCAATAAGAATGGAGACTATTTCATTGAATAAATGTTTTGTTTTGATCTATAAAGAAGTGTAAGGTTTATTCATCTCAATAAAACTATATTAACTTCTTGACAACCTAATAGTTCTTCAAAAACCAGTTAAACATCCTATGCACAAGAACAAAATATTATCCTGCAGATTACTTTCTAGCTTGCATAGATGTGTTTTATAGAGTCCAAAAATGTGCAAATTTATATGTAACTTCCTGTTCAAAATTAGGGAGAATCACATCAACAAGAATTAAATTCAAAAACTATAGGACCATATTTTCTTCCAAATTTTATTACCGTAGTTCATAAGCCACATATAACACAAAGATAAATTTAAATGGTATATGCATCTTTAAAAACATTATTTTAATTGATTTGATTCTAGGTTTACTACTGTACTTTTGATATGATTAAATAAATTTTTTAAATTGTCACCATTTTTTCTAAACACATATACACTTATATACAGCATCATTTAATATTTTAAAATCTTATGCATACATACCTTCCCATACTGAGCTCCAGCATCAAGAATAGCAACTTTTTCAGAGTTAAAAACACCATTAACGCGGGTTTCTTGCCCTGTGTCGTACATGACACGGCCTCCACAACAACACTGAAAAGTACAATTCAAAAATAAATATGCTTCAATTATTACCGTTATAACTTCAAATTTTAATAGTAATATACTATAAGAAAACTATGCATATAAATTTTTCTGCAACAATAAAAAAAAGTTAGTTTATAATTTAACTATTTTATAAAATATGGCCCTTGTCTTCAGTTATGTCAAGGGTCATTCATGGACGAATAAAACAAGCTTAATATTGTCTTTGCAGCACTCAACAGAAATATAACTACAAATTTATGTAATGCAAGTTACTATCAGAAATAACATCAATTCTAAACATAGAATAGACATGAGGTCCAAGAAAACATCTTCTCTAGTAGAATATATTATGTATTGAGGGAAAAAAAGAAAAGCTATTTGAAAGGCTAAACAAAAGTTCAATATTATCTTGTACAGAATAGTCACAAGTGACCTAGCAAGCTTGGGTTCAATAAGTACACAAGCCATCAGTTATAGCAGAATTAAATAATTATGTAAGAAAATTATGGAGCAAAACATATTTACATACTTATATAGAAGTTTTAGGCATTGTGCAGATCTTAATTTGAAAACCAGTAACTAGAATGTGCTTTAGATCTAAACTGACCCATAACATTTCCATATCTCCACCTCTCCCTAAATATTACTGCAATATTTGCAAGTTTCTTCCTACATGCTATAAAATGATATGGATATTTTATCCATTTTCCAGGTTTTAATCCATCACTCTTAAGAACTAGCAAAATGAATTAGCTAGGATATGTGAAAAGGAGAACAGAGTATAAAGTGACAAGGAATAACACTTTTCATTATTAATGCCCTTTATGACACACATATATGTATTTAATAATTTCAGTACAGAACTAGACAAATTGAAATGATAACCCAGTAATAACCCAATGATTACGCAGTTCCAAAAATAGAATATTTATCTTCTACACCTCTATAAGTGATCAATTTATGATTAAAATGAAAAACTTTAGCTAAAAGTTATTTTCTAAACTGAAAATGGACTATTTAAACTCCTTGATTATTGCAAATAAACCTTTTGCTATCAACACTTATTTCATTCAATAATAAAATTTCTGAATAAAATATTACACTGGATAATTTATTATTTGTCATCAAAATATCTAACACTTAGTTTTATAAACAATAAGTTAAACTCCTCATTTGCCACATCCTGTTAGAATGAATTGATTTATTAGATTTTCACAAACATTTCTATATGTCCACAAGTACTACTACAGTGCTAAGCTGCTTCTCCTACCACATTATAAATTAAGTCTGGGTCCCAATATGTACATACGTCATCAATTTTTACAGAACTCAATAATTTTATACCAAAATTATGCAGCAAAACATACGAAGTATTAATATGAAAGTTTTGCTTATTTTTGATAACCAATAAAAACATCAGCTGGGATATGTGGAAAGAGATAAAACTAAATGTATAAAACATCTAAGGACAGTACTTTTCATTCAGTGTTTTTTATGTAACACATAAATGTATATCACAGTTATAATATATAACTAGAGAAATTGTTATGATATCCATCACACAGTTTCAAAAACAATAAGAAACAATATCTCTACCTTCATAAGGTTTTCATGAACAAGTTAGTTTTGTTATAAAGTACATGTTACTATTTCACAAGCTTAACCTAGATTAATTAACAAGATTAATTTTCAAAAACATATACACTTTACTAGTTACTAAGGTACAGATAAAATTAACTCAATGGTTAATATCATAATTTAATATGGCGAGCTCTGCGATGTTTTACTTTTAGACTTTTTTAGTTCACAACAAAAACAGATGTTTTGCTTTGGGCATCTTTCAGTTTCAACGTGGTTGATTATTCTAAACGCTCACACACACAGATATAATAATTTAACGTTAATCTAATTTCAATACAATTACAAACTTAAACTATTGCAATACTGAACCATCACATATAAAAAAATTACATTTCATCAAATCATGATGTGACATTACTTGTTACTAATACTATTGGTATTAGCCATGTCCTAAGACCGAGAACTCTTGACTCGTATTCGTAAGACGTTAACTTAATAATTATTACGCCTTCTACCGCCGTATACTTGAGCCTAAGAAAATCGTATGAATGTAACTAATATTTAAAAATAATTTTTCTTATAAAACTCTTTCATCATTTAAGATTAAAAAGAAACGCATACCTTTAACAGTGAGATTTTGTAGAATATGAAAAACCGTCTAAACACCAATTCCCTCCGTGCTGACCCCAACTTTGGAAAGACGCATGCGCTCGCTTAATATTTCGATAGACAGAGCGCTACCTGGCGGCTGTAGTTCCCAATCATAATAGTGAATTAAATATAACTATAAAGAACAAGGTTGTTTGTTCTGTTTTGAAGAAGGTATGTAGAGAAATAAATAATCAAACATATATGTGTAGAATATTAACTTATTGCTTATATTCCAGTTATGTAAGATTGAAACTAAGTTTTCCTTATATTAGTATTATATTTTATAAAAGAGGTAATTTTATAGAATAAGTAACTTTAACAAGATTTTATCTAAGTCGCTTCTCTTTTTCTTCAGTAAAATAAAACATAATGCTTTCCTTTCATTTTATAATTTTTTTGTTTTCATTTTCATTGGTATAAGCGAATTTTTTTATAGGGTAATTGTAGGCTCAAGGTAAAAACAACAGTCACGTGAAATCATATGCTCCTGGGTGGTCACATGACATCATATGATGAAATCTTGTTTTCAATTCTGTTTTCAAGGCTAACTATTACACAATAATATAAACCACTTTTTTTACCCATTTTTAACTTTTGCATACATTTAAAAATTAATTTTTAATGAGCTTGTGTAGTTAGCTACAAAATTTACACAATTTAATCAATCTTGATATCATAGAAATGTTATACACACCGGTGTATCAGATGTAAATCTGCGGATTTAAAATACTTTGTGGTGTGCAGAGCGCAGATAATCCAATGTGTAACTTTGCACTAAAACAACAACAACAACAACAACATAAAAATGTTGGTCATTTTAGCGTATATACGAATTAACCGTTTAACAATGTTTTATAACTAACATGAAATGTAATATTTTTTTTCCGAAATGTAATAATTTATCTAACATTATACAGTATAGTAATATTGGAGCCAGGCATGGTCTAGTAGTTAGCGTGCCTGGACAGTGGAACCGAGGATTCATGGATTGTGACCTGTTGAGGCAAAAACGCACTTCGCACTTTGGGACCGTGAATATGACATAAGCGTGAAGGTCAAATTAAATGAGAGTAGTCAAAGAGTTGGCGGTGGGGGATTGACTATCTGCCTCCCATCTAGTTTACCAGTTCAAAATTAGGGACGGCTGTGCACAGGTAGCCTTTTAAGTTAAATTCTGAAACCAGTCAACAAACAAAATAATAATACTGTCAGACTCAAAACGCACTTTTAGTGACTTTTCACAAGTTAAATGGTTTACGTTTTTTCTAATTCTAAGTTGAATTCATTAAGAGTTCATGTCGATTTTCGTTGTAAGTACGCTAAAGCCCCCCTTTAAAGAAGTTGATTAAGATAAAGTTTAGTAAGTGAAACAATCTTCACCTTGAGATTAGCTTAGGTTGGAATATATTATATATTACCATTATTTAAGATTACACCTCCATAAACATTTTCCTTAGCGGCAAGATGGAAATGTACATTTAAATTAACACTGGAGAATTGGTTAACGTAGTCGACGATGTATAAGAATATATCATTAAAAGCATCTCAACCTTGGCTCACACAGCGAGGAATCTAATGGAAAGTAAGCATTGAGAAAGTTTTGCAAAGAAAACAAATTACTAGTTATTACTGATAAAATGTTGATTAGTTAATTAAATGAATAGTTAATGATCAAGGTTGCTGCCACGTTTTCTGAGGACAGTTTGGCATAGCAACTATTACGAGTTCTTGTTGGGTATCCATGAGCAGCTTACTAACTACATTATACATCCCTCGACAGCAAAAGAACTGGTTTAATCCAGTAAAAACAAAAGCTAATTATATGTGACTAGTATGTTTGTTTGTCATGGATTTCGCGCAAAACTATACGCAAAGCTAATTTAGCAGCTAGTCATCACCACCACCCGCCAACTCTTGGGCTACTCGTTTACCAACGAATCGTGGGATTGACCGTCATATTATAACGCCCCCACGGCTGAATAGGCGAGCAAAAAAATAGTACAACAGCTGTAGTTGAACCAAGTAAGCTAGCTGTTGATTAAGCTATTCAAGCCAAATCTTCGTGCCTGCACCCAGACTGAACTAATTCTTTATATGGTTCAATGTTCAGTTCGACCGTAAGTTTCTTTTGGATAATTATAATTAAGAAGGGAGATAAATTAAAATATCATGGTAAATAATAACAAGTTATGCTGCAAAATAGTTTTGTTTATTGGCAAAAAAATAATAATTACATTTAATGCTCAAAGCCAAACACTAAATTAATATGCATTTGTTCTGATTTCAAGACTTTGGCAATCTGTTGTATTCATGTTGCTCATGTATTAAATATAATCTGTATTTTGTTTTTTACGAACTCTGATATTTCATTGTTTCTTATATAAACTTACTCAAGTTGGCGACCTGTGTAAGAATTAACGACTGCATATTCACGTATTTCAAATAAATACTGTTTGTAATTGATTCGTCACTCACAAAGTTGCTCAACTAGCCGGATGAGTAGATGTACAGAGTTAAATAAGAGGCCATTTAGAAAAATTTGGATTTTAAACATCGTCTGTTATCATTCGATTAGTAATTACTAGTTTTGTAAACAAAATTATATTTAACCTAGGGTCTTTCTTTGAAAAAGACTTTACAGATGACTAAAAATGTCATCTCAGAGCAATATAAAGTTGTTAAATGTGAAACCAACTCAAGAAAAGTGCGATAAAAGGAAAGAGATAGTAGGGTGTGTATGTGCGTAGTCAATG